ATACCCTCATGTGAATGTAGTTCACAACCACGAGGTGATTCTAATTCACACGGTGTGAATTTGATTCACATAGTGTGATTCTGATTCACATGGTGTGAATGCCATTCACATGAGGTGAACAAAAATCACATGAGGTGAACAAAAATCACATGAGGTGATTGACTTTCACACCGTGTGAACTGGAATCACCTTGTGTCAATTGCATTCACCTCATAGTGAATGAAAATCATTGAGCTGTGTTCAGGGATTAAGACACCTGATGATATTTTCTCTGCTTAGGAGTCTTGTACAGCATCACACACAGCTGCTTCAGATATACGGGGAAAATCTACTTGGAAGGGGTGTGATGATACTGGCCTGATTGGATTGGCTTGCCGTCATGATCATGTCTTGAAATTTGTGAATGTGGTCCAGAGCGGAGAGCGGTGAGCTTTCTTCATCATCAAACATGATTTACTACGTGTGGCATGTGTGAAAGATTGATTCATCCTGGTGACCTTTGATACAATTGGTCAGTATTTTGTACTGGCATTGCTTTACCAGTTAATTCAAGATACAGAGAAGGCAGGCAAACCAAAACAAAGCCGTACGGTTTTTTACGACATTGGTTGTACACTAGAAAAAAGTGTTCAGAAAGTGGAGTTCTGCAGCTCTTTGTATTAAACCGTGCAATACCTGATAAGTTCTTGACTCCACAGAACGAGTATTTCAAGGAGGAATACCAGCGTGGTGATCTCAAATTTGCAACTAGTGCATTTCATGCATATGCACATAGATGGACTTGTCAGTTGAAATACAATCCACGGCTGAACAAGGGATATGGATTGACCAACGGCAAAGGCAATGAGAGGATCTGGTCTGATAATGATCCTCTGATAGCACCGAATTGATGTGCGACTAAACAACACCGTGTTGATGCACTAGATTTGCAGTCAAGTCATGGCAATGAAACAAGACCCAATAATGCAAGTATGTAATATTTTTCTCAAGAAAAGATAATGGTAGGAACTTAGATGATTTATTTGCAGCCCATTCAATGCAGGTGAAATTAAATACAGCAGAAAAAAGATTCAAGGGGGCATCACATACACTTCAAAGACTTCAGTCTCAAGATCCTACTTTCTTATATGGCTATTTTTCCAGGCAGTGGGAATGGCAGAAGGCCACTCAGCTGGCTGTAATAGATGATTGTGGTGTGCAAGAGAAGATGGAACAGCATTTGGTGGCGCTTCTGGACTTGGAAGAGAAGGTGAAGGACGCACAGTGAGTGGGGATTTTGATGTTTTGGAACCATTGTGGATGATTTGTGCTGACTTTGATCCGGTGTAACATGTGGGAACATATCATCAGCAATGAGCTCTCTTGTCTGCGACAAAAGCGGTGAGGAACTTGGACAGAAGAAGAGATGGAACTATTTCTCACATTGCCGGGATCAATTGTGGAGCTTGAGATGGCAGTTGAGGAAGTGAGATAAGAGTTGGGAACCCCTGAGTTCACTCGACTTCGAGCTGCTACAGGTGGGTGATCTCATTCAATCATATCCTATGTATGTTGACTAACATGTTTGATATGAAAAGGTCTCAAAGCTGAAGCACTCATACGTGGTCATCTGGCTAAGATGAAGCTATATGAAGCCAAAGTTGGTATAGTTGAAGCGCAGAAAAAATGGGACACGGAGGGTCAAGGCAAGTTTTTATCTTTTTGAGAAACTCTGAAGCGTATATTCATGTTAGAATTTACTTTTCTGTAGGCACAAAAGCACAGAAGGGTCTCAAGATGTTAATGAGCAAGAAACATTTGATGTTTAAGAAAAAGTGGACGTCCTATGAAGATCAGGTGTCACAATACAACAGAATTCGGCCAGTTAGCCGTATGGTTTGTCCATCACTTGATGAAGCCAAAAGGCTACCATTTGAGGATATTTTCTGGAATGTGGGGGTGCTTGCTCATCCTACGGAGAAGTGGGCTGTAGATCCAGGCACAATTGAAGGTATACAAGCCTTTTTACAACACAGGTCTTGAAGTGAAAAACTCCAAAGAATTGGCTGAGAGACTCAGCAGATGGTATATGAGGCTTTGAAGACTGAAGACAAGCTAGATGGATTACTAGCAGTGTGTAGCAGTGGCAAGTTTTTCCATCTTTTCTATTGTGGATGTTTTCTATCTTATGTTTTCTAATGGTACACACTTGTGAATATTTCAGATTGTGATCCTGAAAATGGTGGAAGAGATCTAATAGACAGCCCCCAGGATGATCTCAAAATTATTGAGGAGGATATGCTGCATGGGGAAGATGATGGTGATGCAGCACGGCTTCATGAGCAAGTGGATCACCTGTACATCATGGAAGAAACCACTGATGAAGAGGATCTTTGGAGTGAAAGTGGGATGGATGGTAGCTATGATTAAATATATGGGAAAGAATGTTTTTTTTGCGTTTTTTTTTGTTTTGAGTTAACCTTTTAGAATTTAAAGGTTGAATTTCTGGGTATCCTCTCAGTAAACATGTTCCTGTAGGTGAAATGAATTCACATGTGGGTGATACAAATTCACATGTGGGTGATACAAATTCACATATAGGTGAAATTCATTCACATATAGGTGAAATGAATTCACATGTAGGTGAAATGAATTCACGTGTAGGTGATGTATAATCACATGTAGGTGATGTATAATCACATAGGTGTGTTTTATTACATAGGTGCGTTTTGCATTTGGTGGTATGTGTTGACATGTAGGTGATATGAATTCACATGTAGGTGAAGTAAATTCACATATTGGTGGTATGTGTTGACATATAGACACACATATGTGTGGGTAAATATGGGGGTTTCAAGTTTGTTTGTTTTGTGCGCACAATTTATAAATTTGGACAAGTTGTTTGTAAGAGAAATTATGCGTAAAAACATAAGTTGTGTGATTTTGAGCTGTGACTGAGGTGAATGGGAATCTGATACTTACTCCAGGCCTGGACAGACATTCACATGTGTGTGACCATACGTGGTAGTTCAATCTGGGACGTAGTCTTTACGGGTGGGAATCACATAGGTGTGATTGATATTCACATAGATGTGAATTCCATTCACATCGGTGTGATCCCAATTTTTAGGCGCATGTGTGATTGGTTGTTGAACTTGATCAAATGCAAGAATATGGGCATGGATAGTGTTTTATGGGTTCCTAGCTCATGTAGTGATGGAAAAAGGACTTGATAACAGCTTTGAGTCCAACATGTTGGGGAGTCGGCGCGTCGGACGGGGAGGTTTTGCGGCTATAAGCCAATAGGAAGTACACGTTTCCTATTGACTTATATCCAAAAGGTTGGGTAGCGACAGGTGTGAGATGGTCAAGTGGGAATTTAACAAAGAGTTTGAAAAATTCTTATTCTATCACTGTTGGAAATCAAGGAGGTTGGGTTCAACAATAATGAAAGTCAAAACAAACAAATGGGTTGAAAGATGTGTTTCATGAATCACTGAATGATTGAGCTGTGGGTGGCTGACTTAGGAGATGATGACCAAAGGGATGGTTTGTCTCAAAAAGCCAGAATGGATTTTTGCATCAAATGACTTCAATTGCACTGGCAACCTCATTGAGGCTGACAATGTCATTGATTCCCTTTATTATGTGCATTGTGAAGTTGTGTGATGCATAATAAATTGGATTGATTGAGTGATTCACCTTCATAATTAGCCGTATGGAGACCAAACATTTGAGATCTTGAGTAGAAAATCAAATCTTTTTGCTCTCTACCTTTGATTCCCCTTCCTGAATATTTGATTGCAAAAGCTCTTCACCACCAATCTGTTTCCATCAGACCGTACCATTTTCCCTTTCATCTGTTTCCATCAAACTGTACCATTTTCCCTTTGACTGCAATCTTATCATGAGTATAATTGATAAAATCAGCTCACTTTTCAAGGAATATGGCAATGAGCTCAGGAGTGACAACATTACTATGGTGGAACTACAAAATACACTGCAATCCTTCCCAAAGCCCATCCTAAATTCAATGAGCATTTCTCAACATTTGCTCATTGTGCCATTCACAATGACTCTGTGTGTGGCAGAATTATCCATAGAAGTGCTAGCACTGAACCTGTTCATATATCACAATACAGAGTGGTTCCTAGCAAACCTCTCAATTATATTTACAACTGGGCCAATACTGATCCGAAATCCTTGCCATCTGCTGCCGACTTTTCAAAACAACTACCACATCCTTACCCACCCTTTCTAGCACCAGTCCCTCAATGACCATGGGCTTCTGCATTGTTTATCAACACTTTCAAACCTTTTGAAGAAGTTTTGGATAAGCTAGAGATGGAAGCTCCTTCTCCCACTCAATCTCACTCTGCACCATTCATCTACACTTTCAAGCCTCTCAAAGAAGTGGCGGATAAGCTAGAGATGGAACCTCGTCCTCCTCCTCAATCTCATTAACCTCCTTACTCACCATTAGACAATGGACAATCACCTAGAAATAAGAGAAAATCCAATGAAGCTCAACCCAAAGCCCGTATATCTGTGAGACCACAGTGTATGCAAGCTGCAGATGGTGGACTTTCCAATGGCTGTATAGCTATTGGAAACAAAAATTGCCCTTTTCAGTACTGTGTTGGGGTACGTACAATATCCCCGGACTATTTTTTATCCTTCTTGCTACAAATGACACAACAACCCAAATTTCCAATATTGCTTCCTTAGTGCTGCAGGGCATACAGTGACACTACCTGTAGTGAACACAGTATCAGGTCTCTTGCCCCTGCATTGGTGCAACAACCAAGTCAAGACCCACCGAAGATATGTAATCCAGGTGATGGTCAATTCATCATGGAACATCTCTCAGCAAAGTGTTTGCGACCTGTTGGTGGTCTTGTGTTATTTGAGTCACATAAGGAATTGGGCAGATTAAAGTGCCCTTTTCAGTACGGTATTGGGGTAAGTGCAATATCCCTATGATGTTGTTTCTTTCTTTCTTTCTTTCAATACATAGCACAACCCGACTTGCCTTGGATTTGTTAGTGATGCACCATGTATGGCACCACTGCCTGTAGGGTCCATCCCCACAATCTCACCCCCGTGCGACCAGGTGGTAAAGGCACAGCATCATTCACAACAGATAAATGTGGGCTCCTTTTCTCTGTGTTGTGATGCAAATCTGATTACTAGGTCTTCTAGGGTTTTCTGAAAAAGATGGGCAATTTACTTGTCATGCTTGCGACTCCAATATGACAGATAGGTACCTGAAGAAACACATGAAAGATCCGCTTCATCAATAATGGTTAAAAGTATGGCAGGAAGAACAAGAAGCAGACAAGTGAACTACGCACACTATGCCAGATTGCAAATTTACTGCTGAGTTTAGAAATTGGGAGAAAATCATTGTATTTGTGAGTGTTCAAAAGTTTCTGCCCAAGCCTGGGCATTACTGGACAAAACTTGGGTTTCTGACCAAATACACCCCAAAATCATTTTCCTTTGGAATATCTTCAAAACCTAAGGTAAAAATATGAAAAAAGACGCAAAATGGCGGGACATCACAGGCAGATTCAATCATAATCTTTGCAAATTTTTCCAACCTCTCAGACATTGCTGAGGATTTTCTACATCTTGACTTTTCTCAACTCTAAGGTATATTATTGATGTCACCTTTTCCTCAAAGCCTTGGTATCTGAACAATCCAATCCAATTGACATAGAGATCTCGTCTCCAGCAGAGGTTGATTCCAAAAACGCTTTTGATACCCACAACCTTGAACAATTAGAGTCCTGTGAGTCCGTTTCAGATAATCTTGGATGCCAACTTACACTGATGCCCAGTATGCCAGGTTTTGTCAAGAAATGTGGACAAGTTGTTTGTCTAGCCTGTCATGGTGATACATACACGGTAGAAAGCTTGAAGCAACATATGAAAAGTCTTCCGCATATGAAGCAATTGGAAATTTGGGTGGGAAAAGAAGAAGCCAAACACCAAATGAATTGGCGTATAAATCACCTAGAAGAATTTCTGCGGCTGGGGGCACCATTGACTGACAATCTGAATGATGTAGGAACCTCTGCTCAAGCTCCCAAGGAGTCTGTCTATACTTTTGATCCCAAAGTATAGAATTGGACCCCTTTGAGTCCCTTTGAGATCATCTTGGATGCTAGCATATGCTGATGCCCAGTCTACTAGGTTACGTTGAGGTGAAATGGAATCTTGCTTGTGTAGCTTGTGTGGCCCAGGAAATTGAATCAACTGCTCTTTTGAATACACACATCAATAGTCTTGGACAACAAAAACAATTAGAAAAGCAGTCGGATATCATGGAAGATAACTGTGAGTCCCTTCGAAATGGTATTGGATGCCACCTTCCACTGACACCAAGTCTTGCAGGTTTTGTCGGGGGAAAACATAATTTTCTTTGTCTAGTATGCAACAAGAAACCAATCTGATCATTTTTGAGAACTGAAACTGGCAATCAGAGGCACATCAACTTGCAATAAGTACTTATGTTAAGACAGGAGGCAGTTCTTTCCTTTGTTGAGTACGTGACAACAATCAACCAATCTCATTCAGTTGTGTCACCCAAAATATCAACTCAGTGGGCCATCAAAAACGACTAAAGAAGGTGTGTCCAGCCACCAAGGAGTTTGAAGAAGAAGAAGAAGACTAAAAAGACAAAGACAAAGATGACAAAGACAACAACAAAGATGACAAAGAGGAAGAAGAAGAAGAAGGAAGAGAAAAAGAAGTCCGTGAGTTGCTTTCAAATAATTTTCATCTTAACCTATCTGATCTCCACTCTTGCAGATTTTGTTCAGAAAGGCTCAAAATATTTGTTGCACAAACATTAAAACAACAAATCTCCCTGCTTGTCAGCTCCACCTGTTTGACCTTCTCATCCTGTCACTCACCTTTGTGTCATTTCCACTAAGTAGCCACATGCTGGGGACGACAAAACAAGGGGGTGCCTTGAGAAAGCCAGAGCACACCATTTGAGTCCTCCAAAAAGGGTTCCAAGTGCTCCTCACTACTGGGGTAAGTCACTTTGGTGGTTTGGGCCAGGGATCTTCTTCTCATCCTCCTGGAGCATTGGTAAAGCCAAAGCAAGAATGCTGCTCTGGGAGAGATGGCAACAAGGATATAGGTGTTATGGTTTGATAAGGATGTTTACAAACCTAGCTATGCAAAAGTTTTTGGTCTACATAAGCAGGGATTCTGTGGCTTATGCAAGGGTGGGCTATGGTTTCTGTGGAATCACAGCTTTTGGTAGAGTGCGTGAGAAACAAATTCACATTTTATACTTATTGAAACATAGGTACCATATGCTGCGCAAACATGGAGTCATGTCTGTGAATGGTCTTTATTCCTTACCCCCACTGAAAGCCAAACTGGGCGCCACATCAAATCAGGGAAGATGTGTTCTTGGCCCGCGCAGTTTGTGCAAAAAATGGAAGGAATATGCCAGGATATTTGATCCAATTGGGATTTGAGAAAGACTCTTCAAATGCCTGAAATCCAGCTGGTCTTTAAAGCAGACTGTTTCTGGCCAGAGAACCAAAAGCTGTAAGTAATCCTGGGTGCTGGTATGAGCATGCAAATAAATGTTATCATTGGAGGGTCTTTAACAAGAAGACAAGGATGTCACAAGGATCAGGAAAGTCCATCTCGTAAGAAATTGGTCTTTCTCAGTTTTGATCTGAAAAGATTGGATGAAAGGTAATAAAATAATAAAACTGATGATGTCTTTGTTTTGATTGGGCCCGGTAAAAAAATAATTACAAAATAAATGTCTTTGTGCTTTTCAAAGATTTCTGGTTTCAGTAACACAGAATTAAACATCTTTATCAAATTACCAGGTTTTTATCTATCTCTTATGCAGCATCTCTTGTTTTTCTTCATTTCAAAAAAAGCAAATTTCTTTTTTAATGTGAAGTTGAAAGTTATACTTTGACTTGAATTCCAACTTCACATTGAATGTTAAGTTAAATAAAGTATAAAGTTTGCATTGAATTCGGATTTCAACTTCACATTGAATTTGTATTTGAAACTCAAGGGTTCACAGCTCTGCCTTCCATGGAATGCAGAGCTTAGTCGTACCATGAGCAGCCTTTATTTATTTGTCCAGTCCACTCAACAACAGTTAAAACATTCTCAATTGACCATCAAACCTGTCTCAATTTGTCTAATGGAAGTTGGAATTTGGATTATACAGGAAGAAAAAAAGCACATTGATGCTGAGAAGGAAGGGAAGGTTAGCATCTGATAAAGTAATCCCAAACATAATCAGTGAAAATAAGAACACTCTCCACTATTATCAAAATCAAGGGAGCTCTAGGGAACCAATCAAGATCAATGGATATACGTGGACCTTAGGAATTAATTATCACATGCCGATCTATGTAACAATCAGCGGTGTACTGATTATTTTTTCCTTCTACATTTGCGAGCTTGGTGGGTCTTGGTGTGATTGAGTGAGATGACTTCAAGTGTTCTGGATTTTGTGTATCCAGAACACTTGAGATGCTCATGATTGTTGAACCAATGAAAAATCCAGACCGCTTTAGGTGGTCACCTGGAGGAATGTTATACGCACCCTAATCAATCACAATCCCCAACACCAAGCAATTTACCTCAAAAAGGAATTTGTTTCTCAAAAGCCTTTCCAGAGGACATTACATAATTCCCATTCATTCATAATTGAGTCACATCATTATTTGTTTCTTTCTAATGAATTTATTGACAAAAAACATCTAACAAATCATTTTGTTCTTTTCATTTAAAACCCCAAGAAAAAAACACAAGAGTTATTACCATAATCATGAATTAGAAAGGTTGAAAATAGACACATCTACATTCAAATCTGAAAGATTTTGAAAATCAGAATGAGGCTGGCATGGAATTGATCATGAATAATCTTAACAAACTCTTCAAGTGGATCCCATTTTCCTACACTTTTTAAAACATATCTAGTGTAGGCTATTGGAATTGGAATCTCACACTACACTTGAGAACTCCATCTGTTGATATCTCCATTTGCATCATCTGGTAATGTTCAGCAGCCATTAGACCGTTTTCAAACTTCTTGCGCAGAAAGACAGCATCTGGAAACTGAGGAAGGGTTGGATATTGAGGTGAGCCCATCCTGACGTAAGCATTGGCCGCAAGGACCACTTTTAAAGCTGTTTCAATCACGGGTTGGGTAGGATTCATAACAGTGCTGAGGACCACACGGGCAAAGCTTTCCTCCATTGGTTTAGCAGCTAGTGGTTTCTGGGCTTGTTCAGTTGCTAGATACTTGAATAGAGTTAGGCAATAGCACAGCACTTCCTCTCCAGGTTTGCATAGTTCTAGCTCATAAATTTTACTTTTTCCATAATTCCACACAACACCTCCTACAAATCACTTCACCAATAAAAAAATAAAAATAAACATAAAGAATAAAAAAAAATACTACTGTTTCATTATATGTTGGACTCAAGAAAAAATAACAAAGTTATTTACTACCTTCAAGCAAATTAAACTTCAAAAATCACCACTGAAAACCAGACAATACAGGAGTTTTTGTGTTTAAATCCAGTTGAAAACTGAATTTGAACTTTTCATTTTCTCTTGATGTTTACGGAATGCGAGAGGTGTCAAGGTGACAATGCAAAAATCAAAAATCAAAAATCACAATTCCCGGGTGCGAAATTCAAAAATCAAAGACAAAACTACAGAAAATATTCAAATACAGGGCAAAAACCCCTGTACTGGAGTAAAAGTCATGGCACAAACCACTTTCAGACCAGGTTACGGCCCAAATTTCAGTAAATTGACAACTTGAAACTCAACATTTGTCACCCCATTGTCGCATTGACACAAAAAGTACCAGGAAAGCCACAAAAGAGGAAAACAAAATTCAAAAATCAAAAAAACAAAAGTCGAAAATCAAAAAACAAATGTCAATAATCAAAAAACAACAAAAACAACAATTAACAAACCATAAACGAAGACCCCAAAGATGAAAACTTCACATTAGATGATGAAAATTGTACAAACCACCTCTCTACCTCTCTACCTCTCAACCAATCACACAACCCATACACCACACACCATCACTGATCATCTTATATTGGCCAGTCATTCATCCACATTCATCCATCTTTTGTCATAGTCTCCACCCATCCACCTTGTTCAACAAAACCTACACTACACTGAACTTCTTTGATTGTCATCACTCTTCTTCATCCTTCTTTGATCGTCTTCACCCTTCTTCAATCTTCTTGGATCGGCTTGAATCCTCTGTAATCTTCTTTTATCAGCTTCAATCTTCTTTATCTTCTTCAATCGTCTTCCATCTTCTTCACTCTTCTTCAATCTTCTTGGATTGGCTTCAATCTTCTGTAATCTTCTTTTATCAGCTTCCATCTTCTTTATCTTCTTCAATCGGCTTCCATCTTCTTCACCCTTTGTTGATTGGCTTCACCCTACTTCAATCTTCTTGGATCGGCTTCAATCTTCTGTAATCTTCTTTTATAAGCTTCAATCTTCTTTAGTAGTCTTCAATCTTCTTCAATCGGCTTCCATCTTCTTTAGTATTCGTCAATCAGCTTCAATCTTCTGTAATCTTCTTTGATACCTTCAATCTTCTTTAGTATTCTTCAATCGGCTTCAATCATCTTCAATCATCTTCAATCATCTTTGATATCCCTCGATCTCCTTTGATCTTCTTTAGTATTCTTCAATTGGCTTCAATCTTCTTTTCAACATTTGTGTGAGTCAAATGAATCAATACACTTTCTTCAAGCTTGCTCAATCCTGTGTTTTATTTTCCCAATGGTTCAAAACTTTCCGGTCTATGCAGGAAGCGGTGCTACCACTGAATGTGCTTATTTCTTTGAAGAAGTACTTGATGTTACACAATACCGCAAATATACCAGCAATCACAACTTTGAACTCCGGGGTTCTGAAAGTCCTTTTGTCAATGATGTAATGCAAGCTCTCAGTCATTGGTCTCATAAACACTATAACGTAAGAAGAATGGTTGCGGATCTTCAGGGGGTGGGTTTGGTATTGACAGACCCTTTGATTGTGGATCCAAGCAAGTAAGTAGATTGGTGCTTGTATGCAAAATGTTTGCCTGACTGTTTGTTTCACCCATAACCCAGTATGGCTTGGTGCGATGGAAACACTGGAAGGAAAGGCTTGGAGAATTTCTATACCCAGCGCAAATGCAATAGGATATGCAAGCACTTTGGGTTGCTCCGCCCAAAAATAGCACAATTAAGTATATGGGAGGAGATGGAGCTGTTGTATGGAGGTAAATCTGGGGAACAAACTCATATTCCAGCAAGAGATCAGCACATGGTGTAAAATGAGGAGTAAATTCTTTCATTTCAACTTGTATTCCAAAATTTGTTGCTCTTAAAAATTCCAAAAAATTACAAAAATACTTTGCTCACAAAATTATCATCTTAAACACATGGGGCATCGGTCTCGTCTGCCAGTTTCTTGCTGGAATCATACACAAATAGAGATAAAGAACAAGTCCTTTCATCATGAACGTCCACCACCCAAGGACGTTCATCTTGGCGGGCTTCATCCTTGTCTAGTTTGGCTGGATCCTTGCTGGTAGCTGAATTTTTGGCATAGGTTGCGGGTGTTAAAACATGGAACATATTAAGTTTCTGGAAAGATCCTCATGTGAAAAGGTGAAGGTAAACAAACCAATGACTGTTCCGCTTTGATATTGTCCAGCACGCTCAGATGATCTGTGACCAAATGCTCTCATAGTACCTTGCGGCTTGCTGGGCGGTACCATCTTGACTGCATGATTTTGCTTGATTACACGCAGGGCTTCAGAGTGTTGCTGCATGATCTTGATAGCCCTTCAAAAGTCTTTCCAAAGTTTCACTTCTGCAGGGTCATTGCTGGCGTGGTCCTGCAGCAAGAATTGTCAGCCATGTGAATACAACATAAAGCTTGAGGGACTTGACCACTTTGTTGAACCTAGCAACACATATAAGCTTGTTTCCAGCCAGATTCACAAGTAGAACAGTTCCATAGGTAACTACTTGCTCTTTCCCGTTCCCAAATTGAGGAACTTGGAAAACATCACAGTCCTCTGGCAAGCCAAACCGGTCTTTGATTCCTGCTTTAATTCTTTGACTGACACATTCTCTTTGAACATCCTGGACTGGATCCTGTTTGGCATTGTGTTGTTCAGCCTTCTTCCTCTTTTGGCACTCCGCAAGCTTTTGCTTTCTGAGGTCTGATACTGGTTTTGGCATCTACGTAAAAAAACATTGTTTTGATTAGTGGAATGCTCATCAAAAAATCAAGATTTCTTAATTTGTGTGGGGATGCAATGAAATAATGAATAAAGTGAATAAACAATGAGTGATTAAATATTTGATGGATTGAATGATTGAGTATGAATGACATGAATATATAAATTTATGAATAATTGTTTGAAGAAATGATTGATAAAGTAATTTCTTGAGGATTGAAATCAGGAAGCACCAAGATACATT